CATTGCGACTCGATACGGTTGTTCGTATTGTTCGTGAGGTGTGGAACGTCACCGCGCTTGTAGGTTACCCATTCATCCTTGGACTGATCCCAGTTGTCCACGAAAGTTTTGTACAGTTTGTGCGAGCTGTTATCTCCAAGCAGCCGAAGAAGAGTGGCTTTCGATTCCTCGTAAGCCGCACTACTTTTTGCGTACACGAGATCACGCATGAGACTCTTGGCGTCCTCCTTCACTCCAGGCGTCAAGCGCGTAGCCAGCTTATTCAGCCACGTAAGCGCATGCCATTGGCACAGTAGCTAGCGTGCATCAGGAAACTCGTCCCGCAGCACATCTTTCTGGTGTATAGCCTTGTCCGACATGAAAAGTTGAATCTTGCCCCACTCAGGATTATTTTCCTTAAAGATTTCTACCACACGCCTCAAGTTGTCCTTCTCCTCGCTATCTACAAGAGCATGATGAACATATTGTCCCTACATTGAAAGTTGGTTAAGGCTTAACCATACAACTTATACGTATGCTACACAGGTACCTTCCCGAATACGTCGTGAACCATGAAGCTAAAAAGCTTGTAACGGTTCGCGTTTGTATTGTGAGTGGAGTCTACGAAAACAATCTCAGGGGAAGCCTTGAACAAACGTTTCATCCTTGCCGTCTGGAACGTAGCAATCCGTGCAATATTCGTCTCACTGTCCACGAGCACCTGAGCAGCGTTACCGTTCCTCTGTCTGGTAAAATCCTCGAGAACAGCAAATGCACGCTGAGCATCCGTAAGCCCAGCTTGGACTGAAGCGTTGTGCCTCTGCACCATGTTGTGAACATCTTTTAAGTTCGTCTTCTTGCCTGCCAAAATCACACAGAATTCATACCAAAAACACACAAAATTTAGACTGAATACCTCATACCAAATCCACACCAAACAAGCTCACCTGTCCTCTCCCGGAGGTACTGCAGTATGCCTTTTGCTGTAGCCCCAACCTTGCGAAGCACTGCAACGTCACTCTTAAGCTGAGGATCCTTCACTGTCCTGTTCTCGGCGTAACCTTCGTAAGTGTGCTTGCTCACCGCGTGATTATGGCTTCCAGAGGCGTTTGCACGCAAGTACCACCTGCCACTGATAGAGGCAGTCACTGTCAGGTTCACTCTTGCCGGGCAGTTGGTGTCGCGGACGTTGTTGTGGTTGCGCTTGCCTTTGCCTTTCGGCTCGTAAGGCTGACCGTGTGTGCACACCAGTGTCTTTGAATAAGTCACCCACTCGTCCGGTACCAACGTTACTGCCTTCCTTGTCTTTTTCCCTGCAACCTTCCTGGCTTTTGAACTGGCAACGATTTGTTTGTTTCGAGCCGTAACAGACGTGCTTGTGCGCTTTGTGAACCGTTGAAACGTTTCCAACTGAAAAATGTAGAATGCCGCGTGGAACCTATCCCAGGAGTCGAAGGAGCTCTCGAATCCGTAGAACCAGGCAGACACTGCGCTCTTCACCCGGAGGTCGGACTTTGGGTGTGGATTCGGTGAGATTCGGTGTGAATTCGGTGAGATTTCTGCTTGTGCTTCAGAGCCTTTGCTACCATCATCGCTGTTGTCGGAATCATTCGCACTCCCATCATCACTTTGCAGCAGCAACTCCGTCGTCTTTAGAATCTCCATCTCCACTCTCACTGGTACTGTCTTCATCTTCAGCTT